TGAGCAGGTGCTGGGCAGACGTGAGACGTCGGGGCAGGGGCTGCGGGCTTCCAGTTGCTCCCGTCTAACAGGAGAAGGAAGCTTGCAGGGGGCGGAACACTTCAGCAGAGGCGGCCCAGATTTTCCCAGACTGAATCTGCCACCCAAAACAAGGTCAAGGAACAGAGGAACAAAAGGTGGGCGAACACAGGTTAGAGGAACTGGGGTCCCCTTTGAGGAGAGTGCAGGGCTAGAGAGGACCCGGAAGGCAGCAGCACCTGTGCGTGGAAACGAGTGTCCCCCGGCTCCATTCCCCCAGCCCCAGGGGCCCAGGTTCACCGGCCTCCCAACCCATATCTCACCTTTTGGATGAAGGCGTGTCGGACTTTCCTGTCACTCCACTCTCCAGATTCGAAGTTGTCACTCACAGCTCTCTCCTCCCCATCATAACCCTGGCCTGGGCCTGGGGACAGATCACATATGACCAACTGGGGACCTGGGACGTGTGGCCTCAACCCCCAAGCCTCCACGGCACTATCTCACAGTCTCAGGTATCTCCAGCCAAAAGACATGTGTTACAACTCAGGAACTCCCCAGCCAGGTCCTCTAGGTACCTTCCACGTGACCACAGCTGGTACCACAGGGAGCAGCGTACCCCTGGCCAAAGGGGGCTTAGGTGTGACCACTCCGTCAGCATGCATTTACTGAGGGGTGTGAACACCTGTGGTCACTGCCATCAAGGGGACACGATCTCATGAGGAATCCAGGCAAGCGCGGGGCAGAGGGGCTGGCCGAGTCAGAGCAGGGACTCAGGGGTGGAAGGAAGAAAAGGAAGATAGAAACAGCGCACGTGTGTGGAGGATGGAGAACCGAGTGTGCAGACTGATCTACATCAGGCAAACATTAGGACTCGGGGAAAACAGAAATATCAGGGGTGTGCGTGCACAGGACGAGGCATGACCATAAACGTGACTGATGTACCAATATTCACACCAGAACACGTACGGCCAGATGACAGTTGGCTGTGCTCCAGGATTCCAGAGATGCTGCAGGGGCTCAGCACATTCTTTGAATGCCTCCTTGGGAGCTGCTTTCAAAATCCACATGTGAGCCACACAGGAAGATCTCACCACATTCTAATCTCATCTCATTTCTGACCAAATTTACCAGCCGTGATGTCTATCCAACATCCAAAGGACTTCTGGATGTTTGCGAAAATCAGATGTTACCTTAAGAGATGAGGATTTGTCAGCACCGAAAATATTAAAAAAAAAAAAAAAGTGCTTTGGGTTCCAAAGGCAGTTCCTAAGGAAGTGGGGAGTGTAGGTGGGGTGGCAGCTGCCTCGCTGGGCAACGGAAACGGCCTCCTCGGGTCAGAGCTCTTAAGGAATTAATTACTTCACCAGCCACTTTCTCATCTGATGTGTAAGTTCTGGTGTGTGTCTTATGGACCCAGTCTCCTTTCTGAATAAAGGGGCTGGTAGGTGGTCCGGGGGGCTAAGAGCTGAAGGAAAAAGCAGGGAGGTAACAAAGATGGGGAAACAGAAGGAGAGAGCTAAAGAGAAGATGAGAAAAGGGATAAAGGAAGTTGAGAAGGAAGGAAAGGAAATAGCCTCACATGCCGTGAGCATCGCCTCCTCCCACCCACCCCCACTGCCCTTCAGGGACTCACCATAGTTCATGGGCGTCGGGTGGATAGGGGGCATAGGCTGTGGGTAGCCAGCAGGGTGACCGTAGCCAGGCTGTGGGTAGGCAGGGTACCCACCAGGCAGGACAGATGGCTGCCCGTAGGCCCCCGGGGGCAGAGGGTCAGGGTACAGGGGGTTGCGGTCCTCATACGGAGGGGGGGCACTGGGGTGGGACATGGTGGCTCACGGGCTAAGGGGAGACCCCAGCTGCCGGGACCTGAAAGAAAGACGAGAGAAGCAGTCATGAGTGCCCAGGCCCCGCTCACTCAGCCCCAATCCAGCCTGCCCCTGTGGAGAGGAAATCCTCAGACTTCCTCTCCCCAACACCCACAGGCCACCGTCCCCATCCCCCCAGTACCACCCACCCCACCAGCTCAGCCCCTGCCCCTCTGCCTTCACGCCAGCCCTTTCTGTGTAGCCTCCTGCCATAGGAAAGCAGGAGACGGGGATTTAGTGCGGGAGCCCGAAGCAGTCACTGGGCATCAGTGGTATGAGAGCAGCGGGCCTGCTGCGAACCACGCGAACCACGCCGCCCCCACCCCTGTGCTCACTTAAGAAGGCCTCCCAGTGACCAGGGAAGAAGCCCAATGGCCCCAGCAAAGCCACGGGTGAGTCACAGGGCCGGCTGGGACCCACTGAAGGGGTCAGCCCAGCACCCACAGCAGCTGGCAGGAGCTCCCGGCCTGAAAGGCAGCGCTGGGGGAGAGCCAAGGCCCAAAGTGGAAGACAACCAGCTAGCCCCAGGGCTGGAGCTGCCAGGCCGGAGGAGGAGGGCCAACCGTGGCAGGCTGAGTCAGGGGCCACCCGAGAGGCCTGAGCAAGTGGGTGCACGGGGATGGCCCCTGGGGGTTGGGAGGCTGCACAGAAAAGCAGGCCAGAGACAGGACTTTGTGGTTCCTTCAAATAACAGCCAAGGAGCGTCAGGCATGCGACAGCCTGTGGCTGCCACCACTCTCTTCGTGGCCTTGCCAGGGAGTGGGGTGCCAGGGAGTGCAGGGCCCCGAAGCCCCCTGGGAGGGGGGAGACGCACGTTTCGAAAGCCAAGTGCCTGGTGTCCCTGTGATTCCTGCCTGTTTGCCCCCCGGGTTGGCGGCCAGGATAGGAGAGAGCGCTGAGGAGTCACGCCAGATCCAGCCAGTGCCTTCTCTGAGGGAGGAGAGCCCCACAGCCAGGCGAGGGCTGAGGAGTGAGGAGGAGGGAACCCCAGAAACAGAGCCCACAGGGACCCCAAAGTTGTACAGCCCCAGATGCTCAGCTCCACTAAGGGAATCCAGGCCCAGAACAGTGAAGTGACTCCCAAGATCACAGAACTAGCAAGTGAATGGCACAACCAGAACCGAGGTCGGCTGAAGGTCCTGGGTAGGTGTCCTCTATATTATGCTGTGTTCTTTAGGCCCTCTTATGCCAAATAAATGGCCTTGGGGCCTGGTGTTCCCCTCTGAGGTGGCAGAGATGAAGACTTGGGAAGAGCTACGGAGGAGGTTCCTGGAAGGGCCCTAAGCCCTGAGAGAATCTGGGCCCCTTCACAGGGCCACCACCGGCCCCTAGAGCATCTCCCAAGGGAAGAACTTCAGGACCCCACAGGGAGAAAGCACGCCCAGATCGAGGTCAGCAGACATCCCAGAGGCTCTGCCAGAAGGGCGGGAGAACTGGCTCCTCTTTTGAGGGCACCTTGCAGAGTGCAGGGAGCAGATAAAGGATTGTCTTAACTCTTCTCTCTCGACTGGGATAACAGAGAGGGGAAGGTAGCAGGGAGGGGCGGGAAGGAGGGCTCAAATAACAGGCCAAGTCAATGATTTATTCTGAGGAAAGCTGTTCTCCATCTTCCCAGAGTGAATGGACCAGAACATCAAGAATGTGTCAGGTCAGAAATAAGAAAACCTTCCTGACAGTGAGGGTGTGACACAGCAAACCTTCGAAAGCAGGCCATGGCGGAAGGCCCCGCATGGTGGGGTAGAGCGCCCTGAGGAAACAGGGAGTGGAGAACGGGGAGACCCAACACTGAGTGGTGTGAGTTTAAGAAACAGGCATAGTAAGTGTTTTTGAAAATATTTTGGGTTTGTCAGGGTAGGATAACATTCACGAGCAGTTATAATACCTGCATCCCCTTAATAGACTTTTTTTAAAAAGGAAGGGAAAGAAACTGGACTCTCCTGCCCTGGGGCAAGAGGCTCCTTCTTCCGACAGCGCCCCCCCGCTCCAAACACCCCCCTTAACTCCACCCGGAGGACAGCATCCTGTCTTCGGGAAGCAGCATGGGTGAGCCACCTGTGGAGTAGGGTTATCTATCGTTACTGCCGTGGGCCCAGCTGACAACAGGCTAAACACGGCCGGCGAGACACTGGCAGGAAAGACCCTGTGGTCGGAGGCCCCAGCCGGGCCACTTGACAGTGATGTCACCATGACCTGGTCCTGTCGGCTCCTCGGGGCGCACCTCTGTGAAATGAGGTGAGTGACCCAGATGATCTCTGAGCTCATTTCCAGCTCTAACGGACTAGGACTTATCTGACAAACCCAGTTACGCGCGCGGGGCCTGCCCTTTGCGGGGCCTGCCCTTTGCCGGGCCAGCCAGATGCACCACCCGCCAAGCCAAGCCGGGCAAACAGGTCCCTCCCCAAACCAGAGGGTGAATCAGGGAGCTTGAGGCCGGCCTTGGGTAGGCCACCAGGACTCTGGAGTTACGGTCCAGCACAGTAGGCCGCTGACTCATGAAGATGCCCTCTGCCCTCCCTCGCCCCTCCCTGTGACGCTTCTCGTTTCAGAGGAACTCACCAGTAGACCTCTCCGCAGGGAACACAGAAGCTCACAGTCCAGTTCTCTGCGGGCTTAGCCTCCAGCCCGTGCTCACCAGAGACCGGCACTGACCACTTTACCTCACTATGCGTCAGTTTCTCCATCTGGAAAGTGGGTTTAACACTATACCAGAGTTGTTATAAAAATTAAATGAGAAAATACATGTAGAGCACTTAAAATAGTGCATATCTTTAGTTATTATTTCATTAAATCCTTATGATAGCCCAACAGGGTGGATATGTTGTTATCCCTTTTTACAATAAAGAAATAGAGGCTTAGAAGAATTAAGTCACTTGCCCAAGGTTACTTAGCTAGGGTGTTATGAAGTCGGTCAGCTCCAGACCAACTCCAGGGCTCTTAATGTCTCTGCTCTCATCCTCGTTTGGACACCCTGCCTATCCGAGCTTCACATCACTTCTCAAAGCTTCCCATCTCAGACCCTCTACTGACAAAAGAACGCTCACACAGCAAGTGGACGCTGAACCATTCAGCCCCTTCCATCATCCCCATGGTCCCCAAACCCTGTGCAACCAACCACCAGGAGGAGAGAGAGTGGTCAGAGATGGAAATTCTTAAAGGTCAGCACTGAAAGGAAACTCACTCATCTAAGGCAAGCTGACCCCTCCCTTTACCAGGAGCCAGCCACAGTGCAGGAGGAGGTAGAGTGACCTGTCCCTGGCCACAAAGTGGGGCCCGGGGCCAGGACTACACCCCAGCTCTCTGGTGTAGAGACCTGTGCGCCGGAGATGGAGAGAGTGTTCAGGCCAGTCAGGGGAGTAACTAAGCTCAGTCACACTCCCCTCCGAGCAGAGAGGCAGGAACCTCAGGCCCAGGGCTGCCAGCACTGGCAGCTTCTGAGCCTTCTCCCTGGCCATGGCCTGACCTACATGGAGCGCTGGCCACTTCCACGTCATTAAGGCCTCAGCTAGGGATGAGGTTTGGGCCTGGCACGTGACTAGGTAGAAGGGAAAGGCAGAAGTGGTTGGCATTTACTTTCGTGACTATGACTAAAGGTGAGAACCGCAGGAGAATGTGGAGTCCAAAGGGAAGGAGGGGAAAGAGGCAGGAGAAGATACAAAGTGAGTATGATTGACACCCAGAGACTAGAAACCAGGAATCAGGTCATCTGAGTTCCGCTGGCAGCTACTAGAGGGGCTCACAGTCTCCAGGGGCCAAAAAGGACCTTTAAGTTTCCCCATCAGAAGCCTGAATTTTCCTAAAATACAGTAGATATTCGGCTTCTGTTGTTGGCATACACACTCCAACAACAGGAGGCAAGGCTGTTCCATCGCTGGCAGCAGGAAGCAAGGCTGCTCCATCGCTGACAGCTTGAATCATTACAACATTCTTCTTCACAATGCAGTTTACCAAGACATTCAGACTCCACCCCATCCTTGTCAAGTCAGATCTAAGCTTGCTCCCCATTCTCATGCCCCATCAGGAAGGAGCCAGAACCTCTCCTTTACCCTACACGACCTGCAGGCCCAGCCACCGGAAGTGGGTGGGCTGTCAAGGTTTTCAGAGGCAACCTTGGGGAAGCCATCTCCTTCCCCTGGCGCCGTCTCAGTGTGGCCAGCATGCTCCCACCCAGCTGGGGCCCAGGTTCAGGCTCCCTGGGGGGCATCTGAAGGGTTAAGGCTCTGGAATCTGCTGAGAGGAAGCTGGAGCTACTGGGGTTACAGCAAGAGGGTGCCTGTGTATGTGTGTGTGTCGGAGGGAGGGGCGGAAAGGAGCAGCTGACTGGTCCAGGCAGCCAGCCCTCCTCCCTGCCAGGAACGGGTGCCGGAGCCAGAATGGAAAGAATAGCTCAGAGTGCGCATCTCAGGAAACCCCACCCAGCCGGCACAGCAGCGCAGCCCCTGGCCTGCTGTGACCAGGCCTCTTGTGACAGCCTCCTTCCTTCCCTTTTCCTTTACCTACCCCAACTCCCCCAGCTCTTCACTCCCCTCCAAGCAAACACTTCACCCTCCTAACCCAGCACATAGCCAGGAGGCCAGAGGAGTAAAAAGATCCACCCAGGAGTGGCTGGGCACGCCACCAGGCCTGACGCACACAGACCAAGGGGCCCAGAATCAACTTATCCTTCTGTCCGCCTGGCCTCTGTGGTCAACAGGATGACGCCGAGAGGATCTAAAAACTGAAACGTCAGAGCTGGAATGAACTTTAGAAATCATCTGGTCATTTGTCAGACCAGGAAACCCCAGAGCCACGAAAGTTCCTGCCCAGCCCGTGACAGGCCCTCTTGGTCATGGGTTTGGAACTTTCATTCCCAGCCCTGCCCTCTGTCTGAGAACTCAGAGTAACAGATGCCAGCGCACGCATTGCTGAGGCAGAGCCAGAACAAGTCCCCATCCCCCCAGTTCTCCATGCCCTCCTGCTCAGAAACAGATAAGGCTGCCAACCCATGACTTCCCTCCCACCCCGGTC